AAATCACATTTAGTCTAGTTGTTCTCAGGCAGAATTTTGTAATCAAAGATTTAAATTGAGAATGATGTTTTTGTGGAAATTGTCAATTTTCAGACTTGCTAATAATGCTAGTTGACATGTGTTTGTACCTTTAAAAGTAGTCAAATTGACTTTGAGTTGCTTCGAAAGTGAGCAAGTTTGCTTCAATGACACTGCATGGTGTTACCAGAATTTAATTCATTAATGATCAGAAAAAATACAGAAAAATCAAGTTTACGTTAAAGATTACAATTTCTTTTAAGTTATGATAGAGCAAAGTCTTTCTTTAAAAATTCAAATGTATTTTTAACTGCTCCATTTAAGACCAATCACAATAAACTTTGAGATTTTGTGGGGGATGTAAGTTAATTTTCTACTTTACATTTTTTAATCTGCAGGATATTTGAATTGATCTAAATAAGGATGAAATATCAGCTGGCATCATTCTGATTATCACCTGTCACTTTTTAGAATAATACCTCAATACCTTCTTTTTTTGTCATTTCTGTAAATTGAAAACATTAAACTGAGAATATAGAATACGAAATGAAAGTCTGTTGGAATTAGAAATGAAATGAAAGTCTCTATTGGAATTAGCAACGAAATGAAAGTCTCCGTTTTAATAACATACGAAATGAATGTCTCTAATGGAATTAGAACTGAAATGAAAGTATCTGTTGGCATAACAAATCAAAATGAATGTCTCTGTTGGCATTAGAACTGAAATGAAAGTATCTGTTGGAATAACGAACAAAATGAATGTCTCTGTTGGCATTAGAACTGAAATGAAAGTATCTGTTGGCATAACAATCAAAATGAATGTCTCTGTTGAAATTAGAACTGAAATGAAAGTATCTGTTGGCATAACAAATGAAATGAATGTCTCTGTTGGCATTAGAACTGAAATGAAAGTATCTGTTGGCATAACAAATGAAATGAATGTCTCTGTTGGAATTAGAACTGAAATGAAAGTATCTGTTGGAATAACAAATGAAATGAATGTCTCTGTTGGCATTAGAACTGAAATGAAAGTATCTGTTGGCATAACAAATGAAATGAATGTCTCTGTTGGAATTAGAACTGAAATGAAAGTATCTGTTGGAATAACAAATGAAATGAATGTCTCTGTTGGCATTAGAACTGAAATGAAAGTATCTGTTGGCATAACAAATGAAATGAATGTCTCTGTTGGCATTAGAACTGAAATGAAAGTATCTGTTGGAATAACAAATGAAATGAATGTCTCTGTTGGAATTAGAACTGAAATGAAAGTATTTGTTGGCATAACGAACAAAATGAATGTCTCTGTTGGCATTAGAACTGAAATGAAAGTCTCTGTTTTAATAACAAACTAATACCTCAATACCTTCTTTTTTGTCATTTCTGTAAATTGAAAACATTAAACTGAGAATATAGAATACGAAATGAAAGTCTGTTGGAATTAGAAATGAAATGAAAGTCTCTATTGGAATTAGCAACGAAATGAAAGTCTCCGTTTTAATAACATACGAAATGAATGTCTCTGTTGGCATTAGAACTGAAATGAAAGTATCTGTTGGAATAACAATCAAAATGAATGTCTTTAATGGAATTAGAACTGAAATGAAAGTATCTGTTGGAATAACAATCAAAATGAATGTCTTTAATGGAATTAGAACTGAAATGAAAGTATCTGTTGGAATAACAATCAAAATGAATGTCTTTAATGGAATTAGAACTGAAATGAAAGTATCTGTTGGAATAACAATCAAAATGAATGTCTTTAATGGAATTAGAACTGAAATGAAAGTATCTGTTGGCATAACAAATGAAATGAATGTCTCTGTTTTAATAACAAACGAAATGAAAGTATCTGTTGGAATAACAAACGAAATGAAAGTCTCTGAATAACAAACGAAACAAATGTCTGTTGAAACTAGAAATGAAGTGAAAGTATCTATAGATGTTAAAGATCGATAAGTTGAAAAAAAGGTAAATTATGTTTTGAAAAACCTGAGAATGCACAACTACTTGATTCACAGATGAGATGAAAGTCTCTCATAGTTTTAGCTCCTGGTCAAATCTGATTTAATTTCAGCTCCAAGGTGACTCCGTGAGATAGATTCCTGAAGGTCTTGCTTTGATCCTGTCATCAGTTGAGACAGTACCATCAGATTTTACAATTAAATTTTCCTCTGTGGAACCATCTTGAATATGGTTAAGATTTATCCCCAAGAAGAAGAAAAGCCAAATGCTGCTTTCCTGACAAAATGTACATTTCTTCACACTTCATAGTGTTACAAGACTTCATTAGTCCATTCAAGTGCAGAAAAATAGGAAGTAAATACTAAAATACTAAATCTTGTCATGCCATCGGTGGGCTTCCAAAATCGCGAATATGCAGAATTCAAAATTTTTCAGGACAGACAAAAAACTGCATAACTTTGTTAATAATGGAAGAATAATGTTAGTTTTTGGTATATATAGTTCTTATGCGTCTTTACATACTATGCTGGTACATTTTTGTGTGGGTCTACATTCGTGACGTCAGAAATGGATATACGCGATTTTGACATTACAATTTGAGAAAAATGATGTTATACATCATTTTGATTTTAACAGATAGACATGTTTTATGAATATTTTTATGATATAATGAAAAATATATCATTCAAACGAGTTAACAAATTTTATTAAAAAAAAAAATCATTTC